GAGGATTACATAAACCCAGGAGTTTGAGGTGAACTGTGATCGCAACATTGCACTCCAACTTGGGCAACAGAACAGACCCCTGTCTCTTAAAAAAAAAAAAAGTAGCTGGGCGCAGTGGTTGACCCCTGTAATCCCATCCCTAGACAGGTGGATCACCTGAGGTCAGGAGTTCGAGACCAGCGTGGCCAACATGGTGAAAACCCATCTCTACTAAAAAAAAAATACAAAATGTAGCCAGGTGTGGTGGCAGGTGCCTGTAATCCCAGCTACTCAGCAGGCTGAGGCAGGAGAATGTCTGGTCCCGGGAGGCGGAGGTTGCAGTGAGCCCAGATTGTGCCACTGCACTCCAGCCTGGGCAACAAGAGCGGAACTCTGTCTCAAGGAAAAAAAGTGAAAGAAAAGAGAGGAAAATCTCTCACATAGAAACCATAAATCCTCTAGCAAAAGGACAAGATGCATGGGAATAGAAGTTTCCTGTGGAGCACACTTTCCCTTTGGGTTCTGGGAGACTCAGGGAGCTGAGTTGGCCACGGCCCAAGGACGAACCAGGTCCTGCCTAGCAGCTCCTCTGTTGTGCTTTCTGGTTGTGTGATTCCAGCTTTGACAAGAACCCTAACAGCTCATAGGAAGTTCTGTGGCTTTCCCTCATAGCTCTGCAGCTGAGAGTCTTAGGGTTTCTTTCAAGAGTGAGAAAGCATTTCACTAAAACCAAGCACCCTTGTTAGGCAGGAATTCCTTGTTTGGCATGCCAACAGCGCTGTAGATCACACAAGTGTGTTTCGTCCACAAGGCAGCTCAGTGGGGCCAGGAGGGCAGGAGCTGATATCCCCCAATCTTTCATTATTTGACATACTTTTTTTTTTTTTTCCCCAAAAGCAGTACAGGGTCATGATAAAAAATATTTGAACAGTACCAAGGAGTACCAGGAAATGCAGTTTCTGTCTTACAGCCCTTGGACCATTAGATCTCCTCCCTAGGGGCTGCTCCCGTGTTCAGTTTCTTGCATTTCATTCTGGAAGGAATATTATGCCTATAGGAATGTAGATGTCTATCCATCCCCCCACCCTTTTCTTTCTTTCTTTTTTTTTTTTGAGGTGGAATCTTACCTGTTGCCCAGGCTGGAGTGCAGTGGCGCAATCTTGGCTCACTGCAACCTCCGCCTCCCTGGTACAAGTGATTCTCCTGCTTCAGTCTCCCAAGTAGCTGGGACTACAGGCCTGCACTATCATGCCCAGCTAATTTTTGTATTTTTAGTAGAGATGGGGTTTCACCATGTTGGCTAGGCTGGTCTCGAACTCCTGACCTCGTAATCTGCCTGCGTCTGCCTCCCAAAGTACTGGGATTACAGGTGTGAGCCACTGCACCCGGCCACCATAGTTTATTTATATTGTCTTTTGTCCTTTATTATTGCAAACAATGCTGCAACAAATGTTTGTGAGTATATGTATAAGATAAATACCTAGAAATGGAATGTCTGGGTCAAAGGGCATATATGTTTTAAACATTTGGCCAGACTTGGACATTGCAGAATTGCCTCACTGAACTTTATTGAAAGATGAGCACAGAAGAAATCCAGAGAAGTGGATCTGTGAAATTTGCCCCAATGTTCCTCAGTCTGTGAGTGGCAGTTCGGGAACCAGAAAAGGGCTGTACTCCAGGCCCAGCCCTCTTCCTTTGGCTCCATCTATGTCTCCCCATGGGTGGTGCAGGGCCCTCCAAGCCCCTGCTTCAACCCTCTTGCTTTCTCCTCTGACCCCATCACCCTGCCCTCCCAGTTCCTTGTCGTCTCCTGGCAAACTCTCTTTAGTAACTGACTTGATTCTGAAGCCCTCAGGTAGCTTGCAGGAATCCAGGGATGCCCACGGTCTCTCCAGGGCTGGTACTTTTCACCTTGGTATGGTTCCTTTGAGAGTGCTAGCCGTGGACTTGCAGAACAACATTCCTAAATGTTTTTTCTTTTTTTTTTGTTAGGAGCAGAGGTGGCAGGAGGAAAGTGTGTCACTCAATGTAACTATAATGTAGTTCATAATGAGAACTTAAAATGTTAAGGTTTCCTTCATTTGACTTAAAGTATACAAATTAAGGTAACCAGGCACGGTGTGGTGGGTCACACTTGTAATCCCAGCACTTTGAGAGGCCAAGGTGGGTGTGTCTTTTGAGGTCAGGAGCTGGCCAACATGGTGAAACCCTATCTCTACTAAAAATATAAAAATTAGCCAGGTGTGGTGGCGTGCACCTGTAATCCCAGCTACTCAGGAGGCTGAGACAGGAGAATTGCTTGAACCTGGCAGGTGGAGGTTGCAGTGAGCCGAGATCATGCCATTGCACTCCAGCCTGAGCGACAGAACGAGATTCCATCTAAAAAAAAATTAATTAATTAAGGTAGCCTCACCTTGTATTGAAAATACCGCCTAAGGCTTTTAGCAAGTGAATGTTAACGTGAACAGATACTGTCATCCTGCCAATGGCTTTCATCTTGTGGGGGACAAGGGAGGGGCCCACATAGCCCCTCCTGCCTGCCTCAGAAGCTAGGTGGGTCCTTGGCTTATCCAGGCCACAGGACCCCCTCCTTCTTGTCTTCCGTTTTTCCCCACCAGCCTAACCCTCTATGGTTTGTTCTATGGCAGCAGAAGGTACATGAAGAATGTTTTCCCAAGGCCATGTACCCCTGAGCTCTGCAAAGATGCAGCTGTGGATAGCCAGGTGGGCAGTGAGGAGCTTGTGGGTTTGACCAGCTCCTCCCAAAGCACAGGGCTGCTGGGCTTTCTGCTGGGCTGCTGTGGTACAACCTCGCCCATGCCTTCCTCCCCACTGCTAGAAAGTTTTCCAAAGCACTCTGAGCCATTGGGTCACTCTTATGCCTTCAGCCTGCTTTGCTTCCCTGTGGCTCTTCCAGCAGTGCCCATGCATCCTCACCTGGCCTCCTAGGCCCACTGTGATCTGAGCCCCGAAAATCCTTTGGTCCCATCTCTCACTGGGCCCTGCCCAGTGTTCACCCTGTATTCTGCCACATTGTACAGCTGGCCCTCGCATGGGCTGCCGAAACACCCATTCACCCACTGCTGGTGTCTGTTCATGTCTGTCTGGGTCCCAGAAAAGAAGCCCCTGAGGGCAGGCACCCGGTCTTATCTGTGTTTACATCTTCAGTACACGCAGCGGGCTGGGGCCTGATAAATGCTGAATGGCCAAGGTCTGAGGGTGCCAGCTGGCCACATTGTTGGGGAACAGAGCCACACATCTTTCAATCTGGTCTCCTAGAGACTTGTTGAGAGGGGAGCAACAGCCAGAGAAATCCTGGGGTCTAGTGACAGTGCTTGGTCCCATCTGTGGGCCTGGGAGCCCCATCTTGGATTCTCTCCGACTGCCCAGCCCTTTTAATCAAAATCTTTTGGGCCAAAGGAATTTGTGACCACCAACTCTGCAGGAGAAAATCTCATCAGTGAAAAGTAGGCTGGCCTGAGCATGCCTCTGGGCCGGGCTGGGCGTCTATTCTGGAATGCCGCCACTGCCAAGAGGGGGTCTGCCCAGCAGCACTATCCCCAAATCCACAGCCTTAGACAAGTGCTCCCTTCCTGGGCCAAGGCGGGTATCCTGATTTGGACCCAGAGCCGTCCCCAAGGCTGTGTATGGTGGGAGCCTGGCTGCAGACTGTGACTCCTCCTGCTTCAGGAGTCCGGGATATAGTGGCGCTGGGGGTGCCTGTGATTGCTTCCAGGCAGTGGGGCCAGATCAGCTACATGCCTCTGTTTTGCTCTTTGGAAACTCCCAGAAGGTGTAGGGTTGTTCAGGTGTAGGGATGGCAAAAGGAGAGCCAGAATTTAGGAATCCTAATTCATGAATTCCTTTCAAAGTAGTTACCCTGGTGATGGTGTCCCTGGAGAACTGATGTGTAAGCCACAGGAATTGGCCCCAGAGCAGAACCATCCAGCTCAACCATATTTACAGGGCTTGACCTGAAGACTTTGACTATTTCCACAATATAAGGACGAGGATTTCCTGTCTTTGGGACATGCAGAAAAAAGTGAGGGCTGGGACAGTGGCTCATGCATATAATCTCAGTGCTTTGGGAGGATAAGGTGGAGAGATCGCTTGAGCCAGGAGTTAGAGACCAGCCTGGGCAACATAGTGAAACCCTGTCTCTACAAAAATAGCTAGGCATGTCATCATGCCCCTGTAGTTCTAGCTACTCAGGAGGCTGAGGCAGGAGGATCACTTGAGCCCAGGAGACTGAAGCTTCAGTGAGCTATCATTGTGCCACTTTATTCCAGGCTGGATGACAGAAAAAGACCATATCTCAAAAACAACAAAACAAAACAAAGCAAAAAAGGCCGGGCATGGGGGCTCATGCCTGTAAACCCAGCACTTTGGGAGGCTAAGTCTGGCAGATCTCTTGAGTCCAGGAGTTGGAAACCAGCCTGGGCAACATAGTGGGACTCGTCTTTACAAAAAAATAAAAAACAAAAGAAAGAAATTACCCAGAGGTGGTGGTGCATGCCTGTAGTTCCACCTATTCTGGAGGCTGAGGTAGGAGGATCACTTGAGCCCAGGAGGTCAAGGTTATAGTGAGCTGTGATGGTGCCATAGCACTCTAGCCTGGGCAACAGAACAAGATCCTGTCTCAAAAAAAAAAAAAAAAAAATCCCAACAACAACCCAAAAACCCAAAACAAAAACCAAAAAAAACACCAATTGAATCAGTCCCTGAGGGAAAACTAAGTCCTCCATTTAGCTTTGAGATAGGACTACTCAGAGGTCACTGCAAGTGATGCTAGGCATGGCCAGCAGGAGGCTCTGAAGTGCAAGTGGCTGAGGTGTAGGGTGGCTAGGAGTGAGTGTCTGGCAGTCAGGGTGGTAGCCAGCCAGCAGAGGGAGATGGGCTGGGGGAGGCATGGGTTAACGACCCTGCAGCAAGTGGGCAGGGCTGGGAGGATGGAAGGCAGAGGAAAGTGGGCCAGATGGCTTAGGGTGGACCAGGATTCCACATCATTTACTGTGTCCATGTTTCCTTTTATTTCAGATGTTTTCAAGTCAGCAAACATTTACTGAGGATCTGCTGTGTATAAGGTACAATAATGCGTGCCTGGGGGGAAGGGACATAGTGGACAGAGATAAATAAACTCCAGCACATTTGCTGCCTTTGGGGAAAGCTGTCCTAATGGGGCGTGGGGGGGGCGGGGCAGACATGAGGATTGCAGAGTGTTCCAGATGGCAAAGTAACTTGCCCAACAATGACTTAGCATGAGGGCCCCCTGATTCAGAACATCAGGGAAAGCTTCCTGGATGAGGCAATGCTTGCAGTTGGCTCTGAAGATCGTCTTATTTGGAGGGCCGAGAAGTGAGAAAGGCGATCCAGGCAGATGGGCTGCGGGGTCTGCCACATCCTTTCTGCTTAGGTTCCCTGTCTCATAGGCAGGGGCTCCTGAAGGGAGAGTTCAGCTATCAGGGTTTTAGCCCCAGTTCCTGGCCTTCCTGCCTCGAGCGCAGAGCTGGCCCGTCTCCTAAATGCTGGGTTGTTGTCCCATCTTGGGCCCAGATCCTGAGGATGGGGGTCTTCCTCTTGTAGACCACCCCTTCCTGCCCAGCATTCATCTCCGGCCACCAGGGCAGCTGTCTGGCTAGCAGGTGGCTGGTGGAGGTGGGTAGCTGTTGCCATCTGGTGGTCTGGCTCTGAGTCCAAGGACATTAGCCCACCTTTCTGTATAAAACTGTACACCAGGCCCAGATTTACTTAGAGAAACGTGGTCATTTCTGCTGCTGGAGAGAACTAAAGAGAAATCCTTCCCTCCCTCTCAAGTGCTGGCCCCTCCCTAGCCAAGAACCCTCAGGCAGCATGGGGCAAAGCTTCAGGCTCCCCCAGTCTAAAGAGACTTTGTGTCCGCTGTGGGGCAGAAGGCAGATCCCTCTTTGGGCACCCCCATTCCCCATTCCCTGAGCAAAGGATAGTGGGGTTGTGTTTGTGTTTGACACTTGCATTTGGACCTCAGGAAGGAGGTGACTAATCCTAACAGAATCAGCATGTGTTCTCATCACTCTGGCCCCAGCCTGATATTGTTACCAGATGAGAACATGTCTTATTGGGTTTAACTGTGATGGCTGTGAAGACAGCACTTTTGAGTAATAGGCAGCAGCACTGTGTCCTGAATAAACCCTGGGTCCTCCTACCTTGTCCTGGTCAGGCTGGGGCCAGGATTTGCTTTGGGCTTTGAGACAGCAGCCCACTCCCACCCTCTCTCCACTGCCCGTCTCTATTGTGCAAGGACCCCAGGTTCCCTGGCAGAGTAGCTGGGAGGTGGCTTCATGTCGAAGCCTATGCCTTCCCCCACCCTGCTGAAACCTGGCTGCAGACACGGGCCCTGGGCTCCAGCCCAGCCTCTTGGGCTAATGCTCTATCTCCTATTTCTCCCTCTGCAGATGAACATCTGCAACAAGCCCTCCAACAAGACGGCCCCTGAGAAAAGCGTATGGACTGCGCCTGCGCAGCCCAGTGGATCCTCTCCCGAGCTGCAGGGCCAGCGATCCCGCCGGAATGGGTGGAGCTGGCCCCCTCACCCGCTCCAGATTGTGGCCTGGCTGCTGTACCTCTTCTTTGCTGTGATTGGCTTTGGGGTCCTTGTTCCCCTCCTGCCTCATCACTGGGTGCCTGCCGGCTACGCTGTATCCTTGGGAAAGTGTAGGACTGGTGCGTAGAAGTGGGGAGGCAAAGGATGGCAGCCATAGCAGAGGCCCAAAGCTGGGCTCAGAGCCTTGGGGAGCACAGTTGGGGGAGCAGAGCAGGGTGGGCCCAGTCCTGGGGACCTGCTGCTTACCAGCCTGGCCTCCAGCCTCCACCTGGCCTCTCCACCTGATAGGGTGAGTGGGCACACCTAAAGCACCTAGGGGCATGTCACGCCCTGAAAGCATGTGAATCCTGTCCACGGAGGGACCACAGGAGCAGCTGTAGAAGGAGGAGCCTTAAACCATCCTGATGCTAATTGTGTTCAGAGTTAAACAAAGGACAAAGTAGGGAGTAATTAGCCCATTTATCAAAGAATTTTCACTTTTCAAAAAGAGTCACCGTAGAATTCTTTTACATAGTAAGTGTCCTGGTGCCTTTTATTTATGGACAGACTGTGCCAGGACTGTTGAGGAGCACATTTTTTCTGTAAATCAGACCCTTTTAGAGTGAGGTTCAATGTGACAAGAGATGGGATGGAAATACCTGGGAGGCTCCTGGGAACAGTGACAAACCCGGACTTGCCTGAACCCAGTGGTGTGATTGCCCCATCCCTGGCCACAGCCCCCAGGAGCAGAGGGTGTGGCTGCAAGGCCAGGGATTGCAGTGAAGCAGGCATCTCTATGCCCCTTTCCAGAGAGTTCCTATTTGAGTATCCTTCACAAAGATGACTCCTGCAGGGAAGGGGAGGGTGACCTAAGGGTGATTGGCAGGGACAAATCTGAAAGCCTGGGACATCGAGCCTGCAGTGAGCTCAGTCCCTGCTCAGCGCCTTCAGAGCTGCACAGGACCGAGCAGCTCCTACCAGCTCTGTGGGTCTTAGCCTCCTCCTCTGTCTGATGGGAAGGCTCCTACCTGGAGCATGTTAGGATATATGTGAGCACTGGAATTCATTAAGCCGCAAATGTGAACATGCTCTCTTGGGAAACCCCAAAGTCCTGGGCTGGTGAGTGACAGGGCAGGTGTGTGGAGGGGAACCCTAGAGAAGGTTGTCATCCTTAGATACAACAGTACCATCTGGAGCTTCTTGTTCCCTAGAGCCCAGGGGCTGGTCATCAGTTCTGTGAATGGAAAACTAGACTTTCCCTGAGGTGACCAACAGGCCTTAGTGCTGTTAAGTCATGGGATCTGGGAATGTGTCATGGGACATTCCTCCTGTGATCTGGAATGGACATGTCCCTCACTAGGGATCACCTGGGTTTCTACCATCAGGATACCTGGGAAACCGGATTAACCAGATTAACAACTCCATGGCTTGGAGCAAGTAGAAGCAGAACGAATGGTGATACACAGAAGGCAGTAGCATTTATTGAGCCCTTACATGTGCCAGGCCCTGCGTCAGCCACTTTACATGAATGATCTCATTTGATCCTCGTAGCAATCCTGTAAGGAGGTATTCTCCCCATTTCCTAATGAAGAAGCTGGGTACAGAGGTTCAGTGACTTCCTGAGATCACATACCAGGCACCCAGTGAGGCCAGATGGGCCACCCAAGCAGCCTGACTGTCATGAAAGGGATGGGTTGAGGGCTTTGTCTCCACACTCAGGGTTCATCTGCTTTGGGCATTGCAGAGGCTCACAGAGCCACCTGGTTCACACCTGACCAGGTCTGTATGTTCTTCCTTCCATCAAAGCCTTCTCCTTTCTGCAGGATCTGCTCCTTTCTGCAGGCTCTCTCAGATCCCTGAGGGGTCAGGTAGGGTCATAGTGGGTACCAGGTACCCATCTTGGGCCTGGAACTGGCCTGGGCCTTAGGGATGCAAGCTGAGCCTTGGGGTGCTGGGCCTCCAACTGGAGGGAAGGCTGGTGGACTGGAGATGGCCATGATGCCACATGGTAAGCACAGGGTTGGGGTTCATACAGCAGACCGTGAGGGCAGGCAGAAGCCACCTGCACCAGCGTCATCGCACGTCCACAGGACGCTTGCGGCCTGTAGCTCCCCTCCTCCCCCACTTCTCCCCATGTGCTCTTGGCTCCTCCCCCTTCCATCCTTGCTTAAATCCAGTCTGTCATCCAGCCCTGTTGATTTTGCCTCCTAAATAGATGTCGAATTGGCTCCCAGCTTCTGCCACTGCCAACTGCCCCTCTTCCCTGGATGACCGCTGAGTTTCTAAATGGGTCACCCACACGAACTGTCACCCCGGCCAGCCCATCTGCATTCCTGCTCTTTCCAAAAACCAAATCCAATAATGTTGCATTGTGGCTTCAAGACTTCTAATGGTTTCTTCCTGCCTTAAGCAATGATGCTCAAAGCTGGGCACAGTGGTTCACACCTGTAGTCCCAGCACTTTGAGAGGCTGAGGCAGATGGATCACCTGAGGTCAGGAGTTCTAGACCAGCCTGGCCAACATGCAAAAGCCCATCTCTACTAAAAATATAAAAATTAGGTGAGGTATGGGGCAGGGCATTTAATTAAAAAAAAAAAAATATATATATATATATATATATATTAGCTGGGCGTGGTGGTGCGCATCTGTAATCCCAGCTACTTGGGAGGCTGAGGCAGGAGAATGGCTTGAACCTGGTGGGGTGGAGGCTGCTGTGAGCTGAGATAGCACCATTGCACTCCAGCCTGGGCAACAGAGTGAGACTTCATCTCAAAAAAAAAAAAAAATAAAAATAAGGAAAGGAAATGAGGCTTAACATCTTTGCATGGCTTCAAGGCTCCACATTCTGGACTCTGCCCTTCTCCTCCATTTCCTCTGATGTTATTTTCCCTGTGCTCTTCTGTTTCTATGGTACTGGTCTCTGCCTGGAAGCCCCTTGCCTCTCCTCCTGCTCCCAACACCCAGCTAAGTTAGAGGTCAAGAACTAGCAGCCCATAGGCCAGTTCAGCCTGCAGATTTGCTCTTTTTTAATTGAAGGATAATTAACAAAGAAAATACACAGATCTTAATGTTCCATCTATAGGTGTGTTTTCTTTTAAAAAAAAAAAAAAGACAGGGTTTCATCATATTGGTCAGGCTGGTCTTGAACTCCCGACCTCAGGTGATCCGCCTGCCTTGGCCTCCAAAGTGCTTGGATTACAGGCGTGAGCCACCACGCCCGGCTCGGTGTGTTTTTTAAATTATTTATTTCCTTAACATTTAAACATTGAGAGATCTCACATAAAAACCCAGACTTCTGGTTCCTTTTGAGAAGCCAGAAATTGACCAAACAGACCCTCATTCTTGCATCCTTATAAGGCAACCATGAGCTGGAGGCACACTTCAGCCAAACCACAGGCTGGCACTCCACATGTTCCCCACAGCCACAGTCCCTATCTAGCCAGGTCCCCTTTCTTCTTTATCTGCCAGGTCCCTGTAATCCATTCCTCTCCAAGTCTCAGCCAAGACAATGCTTCCTCAGGTAAGCCTTCCAGAACCCTTCAGACTAGATGAGATCACTTGATTACAAACTGGCACAGTCCCACAAACTTTGTTCATTGTAATTAACCCATTATTTGATTGATATCCATGTTTTTGGGTGGGAGTGGTGGCTCATGCCTGTAATTCCAGCACTTTGGGAGGCCAAGGTGGCTGGATCACCACCTGAGGTCAGGAGTTCAACACCAGCCTGGCCAACATTGGCTCTACTAAAAATACAAAAATTAGCCAGGCATGGTGGTGGGTGCCTGTAATCCCAGCTACTCGAGAGGCTGAGACAGGAGAATCGTTGAACCTGGGAGGCAGGGGTTGCAGTGAGCTGAGATCACCCCATTGCACTCCAGTCTGGGCAACATAGCGAGACTCAATCTCAAAGGAAAAAGAAATCCGTGTTTCCCACCAGACTATAGTCTCTTCAGTGCTAGGGACTCTTGCTCCTGCCATATCCCTCAGTGCCTGTCACAACAAAAGACCTCAGTAGACAGCTAAATGAATGACCGTGGGGGTGAGGCAGGAGGACTTGGGGCAGGCAGGGAGTTAAATGTTGGCCCTCATTCAGTAGTCTGAGAGGCTAGCATGGTGAGCACAGTAGCTGGTGATAGCAGAGAGGTTTGGGAGGAGCCAGAGGAAAAGGGACTTTGGCACTGAGCAGAGGAGTGAATTCAGCTGGAAAGCTGTTGAGAGCCACTGTAGAGGTGCAAGCAGGGAGGGCTTTGGGTCTGAGCTTTTAAAAAACTTACTCTGTGACCATGTGAAGCATAGACTCAGGAGGGGCAGAGTTGGGAGACTAGAGAGTGACCCAGGCAAGAGGTGAAGCCTTGGTCATGGCCATAGGGATAGAGGGGTCAGTGACGGCCATGGGATTGTCTCTCTCAGCTGTGCTGTGGCACATTAGGGCAGAGCCTGACTTATGTGGATATGTAGAGAAATTTGGCTGCTGGAAGGAGGAGGAAGGGAGGAAAAGAGGTTGGACAGCTGATGGATGAAGGATGGCGGATGGATGGGTAGAGCATGAATGATGGAGGAGGGATGATGCCTGCCTGGCTAGTAAGAGGATGAGTGGAATTTTGGGCCAAAGGGGGTGGGATCAAGGGAGGGAGAGTGGATGGCTGCCTGGGTGGAATCTGTGGGTGAATTTTTCATATCAGACTGTAGCAAAAATTGTCAGCATACGTGTCTCCTGCATTTGGCCCAGTCATTGAGCAGATAGGTCCTGGAAGAGCTGCGTTTCAGCTTCAGAGATTAGCCATGCTGCCCCTGGCCAGGCCCTGAACATGGTAGGCCATCCAACACACCCAGTCCAGGGCTCCAAGTGCATAGATTCTTGGTAGGGGAGGGAGCAGGTGTCTGAACCCCTGTCTGCAAGGGCTTCTCCACCTGGCCTGGCTACTGAAAGTGGGGGTGGCTGCATCCCTCTTGGAGGTGACTTGCTATGAAAGCAAGATAAGCAAGCTAGGACTTAAACTTTTAAGTTCTTGGACCTTAGGTCAGGTTGACCTCTTTCAGTCTCACATCATCATTTGGAATCTGAAACCAGAAACTGGCTTGAGGTCAGACCAGCCAGGGCCTGCACCAGGCCTAGAGCAGTGAGGCCAGAGCCCTGCAATTGGGGCACCAGGTGGCTGCAGCAGGCACTGCTGGCTGGCTGTGGACTCTGTTCCTAGGTGGCTCCTCTGCCTTTCCATGTGGGGCACAGGGGTCCCTGGAGAGGTCTGATGAGGAAGCTCTGGGGGGCTGGAGGTACGAGGTGGCACAGGCTGAGAATCTACATAAAGCGGGCTGGCATGGTGGGAAGTTCTCTGGCTGCAAGGAATGGGGTGGGACTTCCAGACAGTAGAGTGTGGAGTGAGTCTTTAACCTGCTGGGCCAGTGCATGGGCGCCATCTTTGCCGGCCACCTCGTGGTGCACCTGACTGCTGTCTCCATTGATCCAGCAGATGCCAATGTGCGGGACAAGAGCTATGCGGGGCCCCTGCCCATCTTCAACCGAAGCCAGCACGCACATGTCATTGAAGACCTGCACTGCAACTTGTGCGACGTGGATGTGTGAGTGCGTGTGTGAGGGGGTGCATGAGGCTGCCAAGTGTTCTGCGCGATGCATGGAGGAGGAGGGCTCCCAGGGCTTCACAGCCATCCCCTACGCCTCAGAATCCTCGTGTTTTATGCGGTCAAGAACCTTGATGGTGTGACAGGGAATTGGGTCCCTGAGAAGGTGAGGAGAAGGTGACTGGAAACAGAAGTTGAGGATTAGCATTCCAGCAGTTAAAGGAAGAAATATTTGGCACTGCCGAAACATTTCTAATGACCAACTCTGCCAGTGACATTCCCACATCTTTGCCAGTATTCCCATATAAGGGCGGGGAGGGGCACTGAAGCCTGAAGACTCACTGTGTGCTGAGTTCTGCCTGTAGCCACTCTGCATGGTTTTCTCACTACATAGAGGAGGAAGACCCCAGTGTTCAGAAAGGCTGAGGCCAGATGCAGTCACTGATGGTGGAGCCAGATTCACACCTGGGCGGCCAGACCCCCACACAGATACTGCTGCTCTGGTCTACCTAGGAGGAGTCTGAGGCCTGGGAGGCCAGCTGGGTGACTTAGAAGTCCCTCTGCTAGCATGGAGGGCCCCCGCCCCCTTGGCTGGTCCCAGCTGCCTCTTTAGGAGCCCCTCTCCACCCTTCTGGAGCTCCTTGGTCTCCAGGTCTTGGGTGAGGGATCAGGGACGGGGGCATGGCCCAAGGCCAGTCCCCCTGCCAAGAAGTCTGTCTGCAGGCTGAGCAAGCCCCCAGCCTTAAGGCGCCCAGGACTTGGACATGAGGCCATCCTGCCATTTACTGGGCACAGGGCCTGCCAGCACACTTTTACGAGTGGCTTCTCCTTCAGCTGCTGCTCTTTGCAGGGCTCTGCCCTGTTTTGGGAGGGGAGTTGTGCCTTTGGGTTTTCCCCAGTGCCTCCCTGGGCTGGGAGACTCCTGTGAGCCCTTGTGATGAGTGCCTGCATGCCCACAAGGATGACAGCCTGTGCTGCTTTTGGCCCCCTTTGTCTTTACCCACACAGACTGAGGTTTCTAGAAGAATGCCAGTACCATTCCCATAGTATGGCAGAGAAACAGGGACCCACAGCTGGAGATGTCAGGAAGGGCAGTACAGGCCCTGGGCCCGGCATCCTTGCTGTCTGTGGTCCTTGGGCCCACACCTGCATCTTCTGGCTTCTCTCAGGGGTCCTTGCTTGGAAAGGACGCCCATTTTCCTTTTCATGGCGCATCAGCTAGGCGCACAGTCCCAGAGCAGGAGAGATGCACCTCCTCACCCCTTCTACAGCCTCCGGGGTCCCCCAGCTCTTTGGGAGAGCTGCCTACTCCAGGGGCCCCACCCCATAGCGCCTGCAGAGGGCGCGCGCGCTCCTCGTCGCCGAGCTCCAGGCTGTCTCAGACCAGGCGCTTAGTCCCTCCACGGACTGCCTTGGCCTCCACATGGGGCCCGGCTGCAAAGCGGGGAATGAGCCGACCGGCTGCGCTGTACCCCCTCTCCCCGCAGGAGCGCTCGCTCTAAGCACTGCAGCGCCTGCAACAAGTGCGTGTGCGGCTTCGACCACCACTGCAAGTGGCTCAACAACTGTGTGGGCGAGCGGAACTACCGGTGAGGACAGCCCGGCCGCAGGAGAGCCTGGGGATGCACGTGTCTGAGGGTGGGAGCCACAGACCTTGCAGCCTGCATGGCAGGTGGGCGAGGATGGGCGGGGAAGGGGATGCTTGGAAGACCTGTGCCCATGGTTATTTAGGGGTGCAGCCCAGAGAGGGTGATGCTCCTGGGTGCTGGCTGAGATGGCCAAGGTTGGGGCTGGAATCTTCCCCCATGCTGGTCCAGAGAAAGGTGGATGGACCGGCCACTGGGTGATGGGGTGTCCACCCATCTTCAGTTTTGCCATATGCCTTTGGCTTCTAAGGAGTTGGGGCTGTGGTGTCACCCTCAACCCTCCGAGCCCATAGCAGTGACCCTACAGCCCCAACTCCTATGGGTCCTCCGAGGCCCTGGTGCTCCTGGGAGCTGACAGCTGCCTATGGCTGGGCCCAGGCTCTTTCTACACAGTGTCGCATCCGCTTTACTGGGTGTCCTGCTCCTTGTGCTGGTGGCCACATATGTCTTCGTGGAGTTCTTTGTCAACCCCATGCGGCTGCGCACCAACCGACACTTCGAAGGTCAGTTTGGGCTCCAGGCCTATTCCCACCCCTGACTCGTCACCTGTCACATCCCCAGCTGAGCATGGGCTGCCTGTGCCTTGCAGTGCTGAAGAATCACACGGATGTGTGGTTCGTGTTCCTGCCTGCTGCCCCTGTGGAGACCCAGGCCCCTGCCATCCTGGCCCTGGCTGCCCTGCTCATACTTCTGGGCCTGCTATCCACAGCCCTGCTGGGCCACCTGCTCTGCTTCCACATTTATCTCAGTAAGTGCCTCCTGTATCTGCCTTCCAGAGTGCAGGGGTCCTCAGATTTCAGAGAGGTGCCCGCTAGACGGTGGACCCTAAAATCATGCCCCTGTCCAGTGTGGGCTCATTGTGGTGGCCAGGTCTCTATATAGGCTTCCTGTATTTGGGGACACTGGTTTCAGCCTGGGGCTGGTTGTCCTCCCTCCTATTCTGAGCTCCAGGGTCTCCTCTCCACTGCACTGAGCCCTCTCCTTACCCCACCAGTGTGGCACAAACTCACCACCTATGAGTACATCGTGCAGCACCGCCCACCACAGGAGGCCAAGGGGGCCCACAGGGAGCTGGAGTTGTGTCCTCCCAAGATGCGGCCCATTCAGGTATAGTAGATGAGAGATGGGAGGGGGCTTGGGCGTCAGGGGCATTGGGCTGTGCAGCGAGCAGCCAGTGAGGAGACAGGGCAAGGGAGGCAAGCCTGGAACAGCCACTGCAGGCGGGGATGCTGGGGACAGCAAGGGCTGGGCTTATGTGGAGCATGTGCCTTCTCACCCAAGCGTGGGCACAGACAGAGGGAGCCCATGTTTCCTGGACCCCACGTGCATGCCTGCCTAAGTGCCAGGCATGCATGGGAGGGCATGGGATGTGGAGCCTGGAAGTAAGCAGGTTGGGGCTGCAGCAGAAGAGAGAGGGAAGGACCAGCGAGATGTCAGTGATGGGTGGCCAGGATGGAGCCATTGTTTCTCCCCATCCATGACCTTGAGCACTTATACCCATTACCCTTTTATGCTTAGAACAGCCCCATTGCAGATAAGCATACTGAGGCCTAGAAGGTTAACTGCAAGCTGGGTCTGGGAATAGTTAAGGTCTCCATGCTCTGGCCAGCCTGGCCAGGCCAGTTGCTGACCAGCCTATCCCCATTCCCACGCCCCATGGCTTCCTGAGGTCAGCAGCTGGGGGTGGAGGTGATCCAGTCTTTAGAGGAGCCCCTAGGGACTAGGAAGGCAGGGGCCCAGGCAGGCTTGGCTGGGAAGCCTGAGCCCTGGATCCCGAGGCCTCATGGCAACTGGACACAAACACAGGCTGGTGGGAGGGTTGGGGAAGGCCTGGGACCCTGCCTCTTCTGTTATTGTCGCTAGGGCTGGACACTGTCTGTGGGCCAGGCTGCAGGACTTGGCAGGCCTGGGCCTGGGGTGTGCTGGCTGTGGTTGACAACTCCACTGTCACACCACTGTATACCTGCCCCAGTGCTGGGCCCTGACAGTGGCAGCTGTGCTGGAGAGAGGGCACCATCTCCAGCCCCACATCAAGAGGAGATGGAGGCCCAGAGAAGTAGGCAGGAGACTTTCTCCAGCCTCACAGGCAGCACCCACTGAGGCAGGGTGGGCCCCATGATGCCCATGCTCCAGGGCTCTTTGGCTCTGCCCTGCCAAGGCTTTGGAGCCAAATGTGGCCACAGCAAAGAAATTTAATTTCTGTTCTGTCCATCTGTAGTGCCTCGAGGGAGGCGAACCTGGGGGACAGGAATGGTGTTCTTGTCCCCATTTACAAAGCACAGAACTGAGGCTGAGGGCCCAGTACCATTCAGGAATGTGCATGGTTTCGAAGGTCTCTGAGGAAGGATACTCAGGAAAGCCATGAGGAGAGGACTGAGCTCTGAGTGGGGACTCCCTGGGGACACTCTCAGACTTATTGAGCTGATTGGGGCCTGGTGCCTGTCCCACCCTGGCCCCTCAGCTTCTGAGACCTCCTCTGTTCCCAACTCTGGAGCCCGGGGCCTCCAGTAGGCTTTGCCCCTCTGCTGGCCCTGGAGGGTCACTGAGTCCACACTGGGGCAGAGGGGAGGTGTGGGGGAGAATGATCTTGAGGTCCCAGTCCTCTGACCCCTGACCCCACGCTCCTCCACCCCTCTGCAGAGCTGCAGCCAGGGCAGAGGTTGGGCAGGGCCGATGACGGGGCTCCTCCCCCAGATCTGTCAGGGCCCTGCAGTCAGCCATCCACCCCCATCCCATTAGGAATTCGGGAGGGGCCCCTCTCTGGAGCCGTTGCCCCCAAACATAGGCTTGTTTTAGAGACGGCCTTGCTGTTACAGTGACCTCTCTGCATTAGTCAGGACGCCTCCGTCTCCATGGAAACGGGTGCTGAACCCGAGACAGCTGTCTGGGTGCACCCAGAACCCCCTCCCACCTCCGACCCCGCCCTGGACCCGCCCCCATCCCACACCACGCCCTTCCTGGGCCAGCTTTTCCCCGCCTTTGTTTCCTCACCTGGAGTCCCCCAGCCCCCTCCGCCTAGCAAAGCTGGGGCGAGTCCTGCGGGTGGGGGTGCAGGACTAGGCCATTCCTGTGACCTCCTGGTCCTAAGGCCCCTTTGCTTTCAGGGGTCGAATCTGCACCCTCAGGGTTGCTGTGAAGATCAGGGCTCGCCCATAAGCCTGGTGCCCAATGGGGCTATGGCTGTTTGTTCCACCACCTACTACCTTCCCTTTCAGGGGTAGTGGCAGGGAGACCACCTCATGTACACCCATACATCCCCTTCTTGGCAGCCGGGATCATGGCTGGTCCTCTGTAAGGGCGAGGTGTGCACCCAGGACTCAGCTCTGCAGGAGCTGGTGGATGCACACTCAGGCCTGTTTCTCCACGTGGGGAAAACAATTGGTTCAGAGGCTGGAGCCCTGGGGACGCCAGGAGCAGGTGCGGGCAGCTTTGAGCTTCCCACCACTTTCCTAGCTGAGCCTCTCTAAACTGGGTTTATAGACCCATGGGGCTGGGAGCCTTCCCAGAGGAGGCTGAATAGATGAGGTGAGGACCTGGGGATGGGACAAGGGCCAGAAATGGGTGTTTTAAGCTTTACCTTACAGAGGGGTTTTCCCAGCCCAACTGGGAGCCTGGCATGAGGCCTGAGATGTCCCATAGAGGCCAGTGAGGGCAGGACTGGGTAGGCTCAGGGCTCAAGAGGCTCGGGAGCCACACCCGGCCTCCCAGCCTCCTTGACTCCCACCTTCCCCAGGAGATGGAGTTCTACATGCGGACCTTCAGCCATGTGCGCCCAGAGCCCCCTGGCCAGGCCAGGCCAGCAGCAGTGAATGCCAAGTGAGTGTGACCTGGGCATGTGCCACTGGGAATCTCCAGTTAGCATGGCAGGCAGGAGAAAGGGTAGTTGGGGCATGGGTCTGGCTCTTCTCTGGGCCAATAGGAAGGGAAGCTTCTCTCAGGGCCTCCAGTGGGGAGGGATTCGGGGAACAGCCCCCAGGTTTACCCTCCTGCTTCCCCCTCAGTCCCGCTCAGTTTTTTGCTACCCGTGGCCAAGTGGAGCCTCCACCACCCTCTTCCCCAGACACTCTCGCCCAGCCTCCCCGGATCCGACCCCAGGTAGGAGGGACTGTGCTGGGCCTCCGGTCCAGGTGGAGTGGGATAGAAAGAAGCGTCTACCCTGGCGCACCCCTCTGCTGCTTTTGGCATGTGGGGCTCTTAGTCTTCCCCCCGTGTCTCTGCAGAAAAAGAGGAAGAGGCGCGTGTATAAAGTGCAGACGTCTGAGACCTCGGATCAGGCGTTGGGTGAGCACCCCTCCCTGTCTGGCTCATGGAGCTCAAGGGAAGGGAAGGCAGAGCCACGCGAGCAGTGGCCCCTGGGCTTATGTTTCCCTTCCCTGCGCAGGGCCCAGGACCCCCGGCCGCCGCTCCAGGTCGTCGGCGGATTCTGCGGACGCCAGCCCTGTGCACGCCGCTGGCCTTGCCGGCGCCTACCACTCGGCGTCAGCTGAATCCGTGGACGAGATTCCCGTGTCGCAGACGCGCCTGGGCAGCGCCGCTCTGGCCGCCCCGCCGGGCCGGGGCCGAGAGCTGGGGCTGGCGCTGCAGGCGCGCGCGCCTGCCGTTTTCGTGAGCCCGAGCAGCGGCGAACCGGGGGCGCCGGGCGGCCGGGAGGCCGGTCTGGCTTAGCTGGGCCAAGAAGCCGGAGGGCCAAGGAGGAGCGGCCGGCCCTACTCACTATGCAACACCCACCCTTATCGCACCGAGTGCACTTTAGGGGCCCCAGTGGCCGGCGGGATTGGCCTCCCATCCCCACGACTCAGCAATACCCGCCCCACCGGTAGTGATGCTCCAATAAACTTTTTTATGCTTTTTCGGACGTGGTACTTACTTTCTTAATGGCAGGGGCCATGGGCCATCCAGAAGCCCGACCCCGGCCAATCGACCGGGGGCGGGGAAGGGGTCTGTGTACAGTAGGTGGCCAACCAAGCTGCCCTGTGGAGTTGCTCAGGTGTGGCTCGTGGTTAGGGGCTCCTGGTTAGGAAAGGCCTTGGAAGGCGGCCTGGAGGAGGTTTTCCTTAAAGATGGGCTTTGCACTGGGAGACCAAGACAAAGCAGCAGCGGGCGCTGAGGCTGCGAGGCCGCAGCGAGGGGGCGGCGAAAGGAAGGGGCCAAGCCCGAAGGTCCGGGCAGCAGGGCCGCCATCAAGTGTCAGCATCCTGGGGCTGGGCGGGAGCGATTCGCTTGTGGGGAGTCTCCTCCCTCCCCAGTGCTCCGGGCTCTGAATCCTACCCAGGAGAGCGCGGGAGTTGTGGCCTGGGGATGCCAGCTGTTCAGTGGATAGCAGTGCTCTAGAACCAACTGTAAGACCCCTGTCACAGAGGGAGGGTTCCTTCCCGATTCCCTAACCCCCACCAATCCCCCGCTCCAGCTCCTTGAAGGCCTCTGGTTGGCTCTCTGGGGAGCTGGATCTCCCCTGGAGATTGGGGCCGCTTTGAGCTTTAGGCAAATCCCAGGATGGGAGGCAGTTTCCGCGGGGGTCGTGGCGGGAAGGGGGGCGCTGTTCGAGGACGCCCCGAAGTGCAGAGTGCTGGTCTCGTCGCAGCGAGGACCAAAGAGTTACGGGGGGGGAGGGGTGGGATGCGGCTCTCGGAGCGGTGCGGAGAGGGCGGGGCCTCGTGGGCGGGGCCGGTATGACCTTGGTCACTCTCCCGCGGAGACAGCCTCGGGGGTGGGACTCGCCGTCTCTATGGAGACCGAGAAACAGGGGATAATACGGCGGAGCCGCCTGGGCTGCAGTCCCACCCGGGAGCCGGCAGGGAGTGGAGCTGCGGAGCCGCCTGGTCTCGCGCGTCCAGCGGTCCATTCCTGTGTCCTTCTGTCCATCCGAAGACGCACTTCAGGAGCAGCCGCGAGGTAGAAGCCCATAGGATAGTCAGATGCCGACCACCTCAATCAGTATCCTGTACGATGAGGGTTGGGGGAAGCAGCCTGGAAAGTGTCCCAATCTCGGGCGGTCCCAGCGAGGAGCCAGCTGAGCGGCCCTGCCCTGGCCCCAGGCATTCCACCTCGCAGCCCCCACCTCCTGGTCCGGCTGATTGATGACTCCAGCTGTCCCAGTGGGAGCGGGACGGGTGGCCCCAGTTCATGGGTGTGGCCACTCCATCCATGGCCTGCAGACCCATGGGGCTGCGGCCTGCACCCCAGCGCCACCTGACTGCGCTGAGATGACCAAGAATCCATCTTCTCACGGACGGGAGTGAGCACTACACGCAGGATCCTCCCAGTGCTTGGGGCAAGCACCCTGTGGCATCCAAGCTCCCCTGGACGTTACTCTTGGTGAACCAAGTTCAGGTCTTCAGTTTCCTAGTGGGAGGTTACACCCAGGGAAAGGGAAGGAGAGTGCAGTATGGACTGGGGTTGTGGTGCTGCAGAGGCACCTGTAACATAGGAGCCACTGGTGCTCACAGTCCCAGAAACTGCCACTTAGGGATTCGGGAGTGTGGTAATTGGGGAGGAGTTTTCAGTGTCAAGACCAGTGGTGGCAAAAGATGGGGCAGCTGGGTGCAGCCCAGGCTGTGGTCACTGGAGGCCCTAGTGTAAAAGGCAGAGCTAGAATATGGTTGCTGAGACTGAGGGGGTGGTCAGGAGGTGGCAGTGGAGGGGGGTGTGGTCAGGGGTTGGGATCTTTTTGCATAGGGGATCTCTGAATAGTACCTGGGAGTCTTTTTTTTTTTTTTTTTTTT